CTTCTCTTCACTTCATGGAAATCCCACTGCTCTTCAGCTAATTGGTTCTGCAGTGGTCGAGTGTCCTAGAATATTTACCTGGACACCCATCTCCATCTCCACCTACACCTCCACCTACACCCAGCCCCATCCATCCATCATCGAGCTCCGGCATGCTCAATCTCTGTCTCTGGCGCTCCGGAAGTGTGGCCGCAGCAATCAACGCACCAAGTTGGAAGTCCTTCGTGCCACTCAGCTCTACAGCCCCTCGGCCGGGGAGATGCACCGCATCATGGCATCATGGCTGCAATGGCGGCCATTTTGGGAGCTTAACCATAAATGTTGCATTTCGCTTTTAAGCCATGTGTGTGTGCGTGTGTGAGCGGGATTTGATGAAGGACGAGTTCGAGGGGGTTCGAGGGTTTTAGGATGAGGCTTACCAGCAATTTGGTTTGGCTTTTCGAGAGTCAAGGGTGCAGGGGGAAGTTGGCTGGTAACCAGGCAACATCTGGCCACGTTTTTACACGTGCCTCGATGGCGCGTTGCCGCCGCGTTCTAGTGCCCAGAACCGCTCATCTCCGGCTAATTCTCTATGCATTCCACTCCCGCAATTCAGGAGGAATCCACCTGCCATTATGGCCCCATCCCAGGTAACGCCCCTTAGCCGGTTGGAGTTGTGGTCTATTTGAATCTTCCACTTGTTGGCGGACTAAAATGGGTATGGACCTGTCTTGAAGAGGGTCGGACTTTCTTTGATAGATAAACGATGGGAAAGTGATCCTAGCTGGTCTTAAAAGTCAAAGTTAAGGGCTTGTTATGCACCTTATTCTTATATTATCATTGCTTTTAATATATTTACTTGAGTATTCCGCTTTACCTTGCTTATTATTGAATTATAAAAAGGTTTTTAAAAATCTTAATTCATAAAAAATTATAGAAGTAGACATTCATTATATTAACTTTTATAACCCTAAAAATCCATCCCTGGTTTAATTTTCAATTTAAAACTAAAGCTCGTTTCTTAATCCCTGATTCTGTTAGGGCATTTCCCGGCAGCTTACATCTTTTGACCTTTGGACATTTTCCTAATTGGCGGCCATTGCACACACGCACACACACACCAACACTGAAGCCATAATGCAACCGCACACATATACATACATTCACACACACACATACACACACCCCACCCATTCACTAGCTTGTTTCGCTTTTCTTGCCACGTTTTTTCTCTCATTTTTCTTTTTTTTTCGACCATTCAATGAGCTTTTAAGGACGCTAATTAAAAATGTGGCAGCTGCAAGCGATGCAGACACACCGCACCACCACCACCACTACTCCGCAACCGTTTTCCCGCTTTCCCCACCTTTCCCCGCTTTTCCTCGCTTTTCTTGATGCCATTAAAGCCTGGCCCCGAACGCATCGCATCGCATCGCACATAATGTGGCTGGCTGTCGTCGCCTCGCTTTCTATTGGCGGCTTTGCTCTCAAGCGTTTTGCGTCTCTGGGAGAGCGTAATTAACGCCTTTACTCTTGGCATTGGCTGCCCTAGAAAAAAAACAGAAGAAAATGGCGTAGGAAAAGCATTTAGCCAGCTTTTCCAAGCCCCCGGAACCTCTGTGGTTATTGCGGCTTTGTTTGTGTGGAAAGCGTTTTTAGATTGCATATTTATTAAAATGCAGCAAATGTTGTTGCAGATGAAAAGCGCACAAACGCAAGATGACGGAGCTGAGGAAAAGCTAAAATGTAATAACTCTTGTAGAAGCCATCCATATCCCGCCAAATGCCTCCGGCCCACCACCCTACCCCGCCTCCCCTCCCCCTTCTTGGCCCGCTTTTCCTTGGCTGTGCATTTCCGTAAGCAGCTTTTGTCCGCAGGTGTTTGCTATTGTGTTGGCCCAACGCTTAGCGCTCGATGGAAAGCTATGCCATGAGCTGGGTGAGGCACTTAAAAAAATATATATACAAACAATTATTTTATTAATTAAGTCAAACTTAATTTTCACAGCTTTAAGGCAAATTTTGGAAGCACTGGAAACCTCTTATTTAATTAACAAAAATTAACACCTAACTTTTGTAGCCAAGAGAGTATAAGAGTTACTAGAAGATGCTTGATACTTTAAAGTTTATTGTAAAAAATTACAGAAAAAGTAGGTGTTTACCTTAACTGCAAACTTTAAAAAAAAAATCCAAACATGATAAATTTAAAATATTTTCAGGGAAATATATAGCCTTTAAAGTAGCTTTAAAAATGTATATATAAATTTCATGGATTTGAAGTCGAAACTTTTATCAAATTGAATAGAAACTGTTCTAAAATATTATCCATTACCTTTCATGACAATAAATATTTATATATAATTTTGTCTTCTAAAAATACCACAAAAACGGTTTTTAAATTTTACTCAATACATTTCTATTGCATGAAATATTTACTTATAATTTGTTTTTTAATAAAATCATCATTTTCTAATACCAATCAATGGACAATCAACTCTCAGACATAGTTGATCTGCTTCTGCTTAGTTTCTGTTATAAAGTAATAACTTACTTCTTTATTGCCTTAAATATATTTTTATCAATTTTTTTCTTCTAATAATTATTAATTTTCCACTATTTAAAACCATTTCTTTAGCTTCCTAAACATTTTTCTTCACCTGCACTTGGCTGGCTCACACAGCAGCGTTCATTTTGTTGCCAAGGATTTTTCAAGACCAAGCTGCTTATTATCGCGGCGAAAAAAAAGTGTATATAAGAAGAGAAATAATAAAAATGAGCGCCAACTAATAAGCTTATGGCAACCTGGCATCGTCCTGGCCGGGCCCTATCCCCCCAACCCATCATCCTTTGGCCGGGCTCTGCTAATTGTGAGGTAATTCTAATTATCAGCAACACATTCGAGAGTTCTGGTCCTGGTTCTGGGTTCTCCTCCACAGCCTGCGCTCCTGTCTGGCAGCTAACGAGTGTTTATTAATGGCGCTAATGGCAAGCGACGCCTTTGATGAGCGTAAAATGCTTAAGCACACAGATCCTGGGCGGAATCCTTGCCGGCTCCTCCCGGCTCCCCTTTTTTTTCGGGGCCACGCAATTAGCGCACAAATATTTCCGCATACATTTCGCTTATATATACTCGTTTCTTTTTTTTTTTGTGCTCTACTGCCTTTCCTTTTTGGCCATAAAAATGCTCAACCGAATTGTAGTAATTACAACAATTTGCATAAGAGCGGGACAAAGAAAGACAGACAGAGAGGGTAAGGGAAAGAGAGAAAGCGGAAATCAAAAAGCGCAAAGCCGAGCTCACAAAAGTATGCTTCGCATTTGCCAATTTATTCAGGCAGACAAAAGGGGGTAAAGAAATACCGGAAATAAAAAAAAATTCCCCAAAAAAAATGTATAACGCTAATTATGTGATATGAAAATACGAGGACAACGTTGAATTATTTGCATATGGTAAGCAGCAAAGTACAGGACAAAATGGAACCCTTTTTTTATGATCCCTTTTTTAAGGGTCTCTTTTTCCAGCCATTAACAAATTCAATTAACACTCAGCATGCTGTGGTGAATAATTTTTTGTTGTAAATTTCATATTACCATTTGCCGTGGCAAATCAAAAACCACAACCAAATCAAATCCACATTTATTTCTGGTCTTACAGTGCTATTTGCTGTCTACTGTCTGTGCTGCAACTGCAGTTGAAATTTCAATTAGGCCTGAAAATTTACAATTGAATAAACTCGAATTGAGAATGGTTTTGGGGGGGTAAAGGAAAATACTAGAAAAGCCTAGGAAAACCTGGTAAAAACCTTGTGCCTTTGCTGCTTGTTGTCGATTAGTGCAACAAAAGAGAGTGCAACAATCGACCGGAACACACAAAAACACGATTGTGAATATCATAAATTCTAGTCATCGAAGGTGGAAAATTCAACTCATTCCCAAATACCGAAAAACCCATTCCCAGGCCAGAAAGGAAAGGAAGTAAATCAAATCTGCTGGAAATTTCATCGAAGCTTTATTTGCATCCAAAAAGATAGAGAGTGAGAGACAAGAGTTTGAATTCACTCGAATATGTAAATTGTTCTTTTATTGTTGCATGCGATTCTTTTTGGCAACAACGGAAGCAGATTGTGGAATAGGAAAAACATAGCCACATATGTATGTATTTAGATGGGCAAGGGTAGCTTTTCCTTTACTTTTCCGTAAGGCAAATAATGGCTTTCAGCCTGAATAAATACCATCTTTATGGTCATTTTCATAATCCCCTCATGATTCTGTATTTTTAAAGGTATTTAACATAAACTAGTGTTTGATTTGTGACCTTTGTTTCGTTTTAGTTATCGTTTTAAGAGGGTTAAGTCTCGTGATTTTCGCATAAATATCATAAATCTAGACCTGACTATTATGCCAAAATAAAATACGGTTTTTGCAAATACCATCGGTTTTCTATATGTTTTCATAAATATGTTTTAGTTAACCTTTGAGAAACCCCATATTTTTTACTCTCTCCATTCTTTAGTAGTTAGTTCTTATAAATAATATTTCTAATAAATCTTTCAATAAAATAATTCACAAGTAAAAGTCATTCACAAATATTAATATTAAAAAAAAATTGATTGCACTTACCCGCAGCAGCATCTGTACACTTTTTTCCGTCAGCTTTCGCAATCGATTTCATTTCCAGGTTAATTCTCACCTCAATGACGTAATACCCGTATAAATTCGTACTGCGAAATGCCAAAGTTATTAAACCAAAAAAACGAAACACAAATAATAATAATAACGGGAAGCAGGAAAGGAAAAAAAGAGGGAGCACTTTGCCCGAGTCGCCGTTAATTTTGCATGCCCCAAAAAGTGTGCATTGCAACGGAAACGGAAACGAGAGCGCGAAATTCCAATATGCTGCTTTCGCCGCTACAAAAATGCACACACACACATATGTGCGAGAAGCACTATGTATGTGTGTGTGTGTGTTACGGAAAAAAAAACCAATTTCAATTTGTTAACCATTTTTTTATTCCCAATCAAATTTATTACATGGGCCCACAACAAAAGAATTGAGTGAAGAGGAGCCACCCGACAAAAAAGGGAAAGCAAAACAAATTTGCAATCGGCGCTTATTTTCTTAAAAATATACATATCCATGTGTAGAGCCTCCCCCTTCCTCTTGTTGTTTTTCCTTCTTCCTGCTCCAAGCCTGTGTATTTGTTGTGTATGTGTGTGTGTATTTGCAGGACAATTAAAAGCAGGCAAACACAACCATCGACGAGGGTTTTGGGGAGCAGTGGGAGTGGCATGGACGAGGGAACTAGTGGCTGCCCGTGGCCCTAGTAAATGGTAATCAACGCAAATCCTCCATAGAGCACCGCACACGGATAGGCAATCAGCAGCTGTTGATGGTCCATGGAGAAGGCGGTGGCGAACAGTTTCGAGGCCGATATGGCGCACCAGAATATGGAGATGCCGCTCACAATTAGGCCGAGTGTGCCCCTGCAACAGTGAAACGAGATACGAGGAGAACTCAGTACCGGATGGCTATAGACAGTGGGTGAAATCAATAAACAATGCATATGCATGAAGCAACCAGCTACTGCGAGAGAGTGCACAGTGAGAAAATACAACGTCAAATGTGTCAAGATTGCAGCTTTAATTTTGCCAAAGTTACTAGGCAATGTTAGTTTAGAGTATGCAAAATGTGTGAGTGAATTAAATGAACGAAATGAATGGAGAACATGAAATAAATCCCAGGCTGTAATATAAACATATTTTAGATTGCTTAGCTACAAGTTATAAACAACAAAAAAGGAAAAATAGAAAACTAGAAAAGGAAAAACAGAAACTAGCTACGGGATGCCAAAGTTGATATACCCTTACTAAACTAAGATTAAAATATTCGCATTCTTTGAGTAGATATTTATAGATATTTTTATAAGACAGTTAAAAACTCATAACTAAGCCAAAAAAGCACTTATTTTAATTTGGTAAGCTGATCAAGACTAATATGATTTATAGGATCGGAAATGACGCTTTCACTGAGTACTAGTCCTATTTGTTATTATTACTGAGTACTATTTCATACACAAAGTTCATGCAAACATGTTTAATTTTAATATAGAAGCTTTAGAGCCTTACTTTTAATCTAAAACTATTTAATTTGTTTTAATAATCTAATCAATTATTGAATCAAGTCAAATGTAAATTATATATTCTTAAACAGTACATAAAAATGATATACTCTTCCAATTTGTTTAAGTTTTTACTCTATAAATGAATTTAATTAAAACAATAACCCAATTGAGGGCCCTATTTTTCCTCTCTGTATTAGGGATATTTCATAAAAAAAAATAAAAAACAGTACAAAGGAGAGGAGAGGATATGACTGCACGTATGTGCGAATGAATGGGCAGAACAAACAAAGACAGCAGGCGATGTACCGGGCAAAAAGGATGAGCAAACAAAGTCTAACTGCAAACCGAACAAAGAGCACACACAATGCCTAGAAGAAAAGCCAGCGGGAAATGAAACTATAATCAAAGTGCAGTATATTACCAATATATATCGACCATAATGGAATTTATCTTCAAATTCAAGCTAAGTAAATCACAATGAAATTCGTAACAAGAACTAATTAATTGCAAGGTGGCATAACTTTCAATGACTTTAATTTCGGTGGAATGAGTGATATTTTGCTGTAAAATACCTAAATTCTTTAATATTTAATTTATATTATCAGATTTAGAGCTTCTGCTGAAGGTAGGTCTACTTCTTTTCAGTATGCCTCTAAAATCTTGAGCAAACAAATTTTAAATATCTTTTAAAACACCAAAACTTCTGTTTATAAAGATTACTATACAAATACCCCTTAAAAATGTTTAAATACTATCCAAAATAACCCAAATATATATATAAAACTACAAAAAACCTCTTGCTTTAAAGACCTTTAACTCTTAACCCATAAAATCTGACCCCGAAATCAATTTACGCAACCAAAACATAAATCCCCATATTCCAAAAGTTCCAATTTCCAGCTACACGCACGCGTTTAATGGATTGCCTTTCTGTGGTCTCGGCGGCTCAGCTGTCACCCCTGACCCCCAATCCGCCTCGAATCCTGTTCCACTGCTCTGACTTTTTTTCTCTTTTTTTGTATTCCTGTTCCTGCAATCTTCTCTAGAACTTTGCTTGTTGGTTAGTCCCTGTTGCTGTTGCCGGTGCCAAGTGATTTTTTGGCCCCAAACTGGACCGGACCGGGGACTAGACTAAAAACCAATCAAAACAATACTATGTAGCCCCGGATAACTCGACTGTCTGTGTAATTTTTGCGCACTTTTGCATCACCAAACAAACTCAATTAAAAAGTCTGTCCTACAAAAAAAAAAAAAAAAATGGAGAGCAGACAAGAGGACAGCGGGGAATCGCAAAAATATTTACTGTAAACTTGGACTGGCTCTGGGATATGTGTGTGTGTGTGAGAGAGGGGGTGGAACTATATGAACATCAAAGCCAACACACACGCAGAGCCAGAACCAGGGCCACATCTAGTGCTGCCCACAAAGTGCAAGCGCTTAAAGCCGGCAAATAAAAAATGCAAGCAAACAGGCAACCAAAATGGCAATTGCACCGGGCAGTTGGACAGTTTTGGCCATGATGATGGTGGGTCGGGTGTAGGGAGGTTGGGTTTGGGTTTGGGTTTGGTAAAAATGCCATAGAAAAAGAGCTGGGTGGGGTGTGCGGACAAAACGCGCTTGGTGTCGGGTAAACGCAAGCCATGGTTGTTTTTTACACACAGAACAAACCATACCATACACCATACACTTCCCGCCCTGTCACAGACCAATGCACCACTTAGTTTCCCCTCGCTGCTCTGAAATTATGAGGTGCCATAGGGGATAGAGAGATCGGACGATGGAGAGACGGCGATGGTTGTGGCGCCACCACCGAAGGAAGCGCTAAAAACTCACGCAGCATTTGCGTGTTGCTGCTACTCGCATGGCCATCATAAAAAAAGCGTGGCGAGTGGAGCCATCAGGACCAAAAAAAAAACACAGAACACGAAAGAGAACCGGCGGGAAGAAAGCCCGGCCAGCAAGTGCTGGACACATATTTGAAAAGGAAACTACGTGAACGAAACTCAACGGGTGGCAAAACAGGACACGGAACGTTAGACAGATGGACACGAGACCTGGACCACCCACTCGACCCACTTCCAATCCGTAGGTCCTTCGTCCTCATCCTCTCTCACACACAGTCACATCCATGCCACCATCATCCTGCTCTGTTCTCAGCGCGAAAATTAAACGGCACATAGTTGGCGTTATTTTGCTCCATTTTTTTGCTGCCTGTCTTGCCTGTGCTTCAATGGAGTCCAAGCTACGGTGGTCTGTAGTCCCAAGTCCGTAGTCCACGGTCCAGAGTCCGGTATGCCATAGTCCTCGTTCCACTCGCAGTCTGTAGTTTGGCAGTTGTGGCCCTCGAGTGTACTAAAAGCGCAAATTAAGTTGGCTACTCTCCTTTTAGTTCCTTTTTTTAGTTTGCATTCACCGCCATGTGTATGCATCGCTGGCCCAAAACTGCAACAAAATTAAAAACCTAAATTGTGCGAAAAGAGGCAAAGGGAAATCAACCGGAAACGGAAACAAAAAAAAGAGGAGAAATTAAATGTCCGCCCTGAGAGAGTTGCCTAACGAGGAGAATCGCAATTGGCTTTTGGAACCCCATTTAGATCAAACGTAATATTCTCACGCTTTTGTAGGACAAATACTTTTGAATTAGAGAGAGAACTATATAAAAATAATCTAAATAATCGGGGTTATTAGGAATATATCTACTCTACTTGTTTTTAGACTTGTTTTTGTTGTAATAAACTTTTCTAATAATTAAAAGATTATAAGACATATACATACAATAGGTAGTAAAAGTGATTCCACATTAAATGTATGTATGTATGTATGTATGTATTATATGTATATTTATTAGTACAAAAATTAATAAATAAATTCAATCCGTTCCATTTATGGAATACGTAAAAAGAAGGTTAAGAAATAAAATATGAAAAGCAATATTAGTCAATAAAAAACCATAAAAAAGCAGGCACAAAAGACCTTATAATAGCAGTATACTAAGGATGCAGATGTTCTTAAAATGTGTTTGCATTTGTCTAAAAAATTGTGAAGAAGTGATATTTGAATAATGAATAGTTAATATTTTCTTAAATTGTTATAATTTTTTGTAAATAATTTTTAAAAGTTACTGCATAAATGATTATCTTTAGACATTTAATCTTCAAACAAAGGAGTATGTTACTTCAGTTCATATAAATTTTGCAACTTCAATACCAACTACTGGTTCAAATCAAACAATCGAAAAACAACACCCCAATAACCATACCAATATTAATAATAATAATAATAACTGAGAACAGACGAACAGAACTGTAGCCGGGCACAGAGTCGGCATCAATTGAACCAATTTGTGGAACGGAAAAGCGGATTGAAAACGTGCTGCAGTCGCAGCTGGACGAGCTTAGGCAAAAGTTTGTAATTACAGGCCACAAACAATGAGGAGCAGCGATGGGATGCCAATGCATTGGCAACTTTTCAATTAAAAACATAAATATAAAGAAGCCAGCAAACAGGGGGGAATGGGTAGTATTACGGGGGGCATGCAGTGAATGAGCAGAATGGAATGAAAAGCCAGCGACTTGTGTCAACAATTACTTACTGAATGGTGATTAAAATGTTGATGCCCGACAGCACCACCATGGGCAGCAGACAATAGCCAAGCACGGAGGCCACCGCCCCGAAGGTCACCTGCGCCCGGATGACCATCAGCGACAGCAGGCAATAGAAGAAAATGCAGCCCATGACGCCGATGCCATAGATGTAGGAGAATGTTACCTTGCCGCTCTAAAGAAAAGGAGAAAACCAATTAAATAAGTATTATAAAAGAAAGCAAATCGATATTTAAATCAATTAACTTAATTACAACTAATTTGTAAACAAGTAAATCAATGGACAAACTCCCATTTTGTTATTAAATCAAGCATTATAATTGGAGTTTAACCCACCAGCAGCAGGAAGCCACCAAGTGTGAGGCAAAAGACCAACGGCCCCGCCATGTCCGTGTCCTGCAGTATTTGCTGGTCGGTGCCCCTCAAAGGATTGAGCACAGCCAGTGTCTGTAAAAGAAAAAGAAGGAGAAAGCGGGGTCAGTAATGCGATTAAAATGAAAACAAGTGAAGGATTACACAGCAAGGGGCGGCGAGACTAGAGCGCGGTCCATCATCACTCATGGTGCCTGCGGCTGGACACGGGATTCCGATCACCGGGACTCCGGGACACAACACAACACAACACAATTCATTTGTTCGCACAGCGGTCATAAAACGTAGCCTGGCACCCGCTTTCACCAAACATTTGTTCTTCCAGCGTTTTTCGGGTTTTCCCACCACCCCTTTTCCTTTCTTGCAGAGAAATTTGAAAAATGGAAATTGATGATAAATGATATTGCTGACCAGCCAGCCAGCTAGCTAGCCTGGGAACTGGGCCAGCAAAAGCTGTCAACGCATTTGACGCATACGAATGTGGGCCAGGACAAGAGGCCATGAAAGTTGATATTACAACTCTGGCCAAAAGGACCCACAAAAAATTGGTTGTCAATGGAATTTCGAGTGAGCCACTGTGCGTGGTTTTGCCGGCTTTAATTGAGATAGAACAGGGTTTCGAGAGGGGCGGAAATGGTGACATCTATTTGTGAAGGACAAGGGACAAAATCTAACTAAATTCAATACTTGTATCCTGTGGATAGCAGCTGTAACCAAACAATTTCAAGAACTTGTGGTAGTTTCGGGAGGTTTAAGATGATTAAATGGTCAGGTTATACATTACATTAAATAAACGATGGAAAATATATATCTTTGTAAGAGAGCTTAGAGAGCTTCCATATACCTAATATTATTAATTTATCTCCAACTACCTGCCTTTCCCTCACTCGACCCTTACTCATTTACATATGTAGATATATATCCCTAACATCAAATACATAATTTTGTTGACTTTTGCCACCGATCTGCCATTACATTAACAAACGGGGAGTCAAAATACACACAAGTCTAACCATAATTCCTACCCCAAGCCATGTAGCTGATGAACAATTTAATTAGCATTTCATTTCATTTCAGTTTTATGATGGCGCACGGACTCTCATTAACATTTTCATTTTTCAATTAACACAAACGTAATAAATTCCGTGCCGGAGCGAAAGAAATGAGAGAGAATCAGGCGCACGCAAATTTTTTACAAAATGGACAAAAATGCAGAAAGTTACACACAGCAAACTGGACAGAAAAAGAGCAGGGGAAAAAAGTAAGCGAGAAAAACTTTAATTAAAAACACAAAAGTTGCTTTATTTATTTAAAAACAACTACGTCCAGGGGGGCCCAGGGCGAAAGTGCAATGAAAAAATATGTCTTCATTAACGACACAAACCGGCAAGTGCAGCGACAACAATGCCGCCGACCAAAGCGCACAATAAAAATTGCACAAAACAAAAAAAAACAAAATAGGAAACCAAACAAAAAACAATAGAATTATTGCGGCAGGACGAGAAGCTCGCAATAAATACAAAAGCGAAATGCAAAAACATTTAAATTTCAATTAAAGCGGAGTTGGAAAGGGAGCGCGTGGCACCAGCGGAAAATCGCGCGGCCTAAAGTGGCCGCTCCAAAAAGAAAAGCGCCGCCCCGCTGTGTTGCACAAATTAGAAAAAGGCAACCGTTCCGAAGGAGGGAGGCGGAAAATGCGTAAAAGGCAAAGCAGGAATTATGCGGTTGGAGTTGAGTTGGAGTAATTGTTCGGCCAAACAAAGTGGGCAACTCAAAACCGAAGGAGTCTCCTCCTTTGTGGCGGTGTCGGTGGCATCCGGCTAGAATCGGCCGCATAAAATATGCAATTTGGCTCCGACTACGGCGCCTTCCTCAAGATGTCTAGTTAAAAATGCGTTCAAGTGGTGCAGGGAGCAGGACTGCCTTTTATTTCTGCATCCCCCCTTGAGGCAATTCCAAAAGTGGAGAACAACGCCAATTATGGAGAGCTTTCTTTATCTTGCTGTTTCCTCTTACCTTTTGGAAAATGTGATTCGGATTGATGCCCAGTTCTGGAAAAGAAAAAAATGAAAACAAGTTGCATTAGGTAATTGCCAAGTAAATGAGGGAAGGGCTTAATTTCACAAGTGGAAAGAAAGAAAGTAATGGTTTAAGAATCTAAAATATGGATGGCAAAAAAAACTAATGTATACATAGGCTTTATAGGTATTTAAGGCAAAGGCCAATATTTGATAAGTGTAAAACTAAGATTAATCTTTTAATTTCTCATCACTTCATTACATTAAACTAATTATGGTCAAAATATAAAATGCTAGCTTCGGGAATCCTTGCAATTTTTCGACAAATTTAAGTTTTAAAATCTTATAGCTAAAACAAAAAACTTTGAAAAATATTTGAAAAATTAATTTTTTTACAGGACATAGCTAGTATGATTATGCTGTTGATGCTGATCAAAAATACTCCTTATATACTTATACTCCTTCACAGCGTTCCAAGCTTCTGACTAAAATTATAATACCAATCTTTGAGTCGATATTTATCTATATTTTTAAATGATAAATCAAAGTTTTAAAAATGCATAACTCAAGCAAAAATGACTTAATTTTAATTTGAAAAGAGTTCCTATGTTAGTTTTATTAGGTTAAGAAATGTGCATACTCAATTTAAAATTTTAAAAAAATTTATCTTTCTTCCCGACATAGCTAGTTTGACTAAACTGTTGATGCTGATCAAGAATATATATGACTTATAGGGTTGGAAATGTATCCTTCTCGAAAATTTAACCAATATTTTGAATAGTATCGTCAAGAGTTTCACCTTGTCTCCTATCTGTACATTGAATATGTTTCTACAGACTTCTACATTTCCCTGATACTTTAATAAATTTTTTGTCCGTCTCTTCTTCCGGTTTTCCAATCTCTTCAAGATATGTAACAACTTTCAAACCCCCAATCCAAGTCCACTTACCCTCTAAAAGTGGCGGCTCATCATCGAACTCGTTGCCGGTTCCACCTGCGCCGCCTTGTTTGGCGCTCTTGTCCTGGCCATAGCTCGTGTCCGTGTATGCCGTGGGGTCATAGAATCCGCCCAAGCCTTGCGCTGGAGGCTGGGCATATGTCGCATCATAGTTGGGCGGCACCGAGGGCTGTGTATTATCGAAGCTCTGGAAGTTCCTGCAATCCATTCGAACAATTCATAGAAGGTGGTAGCGAGAATGACCGCAATATACTCACAGTTCCTGACCAAATTCCGGCATATCGAAGTTGTAGCTGGCATCCGCCGATGGCCCGGAAGCGTAGAAATCATTGGGACCACCAAATTGAGACATCTTCACTGTAATTTAAGCACTATTTTCAGTAATATTTACTATATTTCACAAACAATATTTGCTACACGTCAACTGTGTGACCATTACTGACATGTCAGCATATACCAACGAGCTCTGGACAAAAATACTAAAAATATTTAAAACTACGCAGTTCGGTCACTTTAAAAGTGGGGTACTCAATCTGGCATCGCTGTTTTTATTTTGAAACCGTTTCAATTTTGAAACTGAATCATATCGAAAAAAAAAAACAATTCAAATTAGTTTATTAGAATGTATGTTAAAATATGAAACAGCAAAACGTATTTTTTAAGAAAATTAAAAATGTCTTTGTTATTAAGTATAAACTTATTTCATTTGTAACAAGAAAGGAAGCTAACTTCGGCTCGCCGAAATTTGTATACTCTAATATATCAAATTTGATTTTTTTTTTTTTTTTTTTAAATGCTTATTTATTGAGCTGAATTTTATTATTGTACAATTACTGTAGTATAGCAACTTTTTTACAATAGTGAGGGCAGAAGTTCAATGGAAAATGGAAGGAAGGTCCGGGGGTGACCATGCTACTTACTACCGGGACTCGAACCCGGACCGGCAGTGCTACGGGTTCCAGTGTTTGTCGTCTCAACCCTTTGAGCTACCACCGGCGGCATCAAATTTGATGAAAATCTGTTGCTTACAAGAAAATTTATAGTTTTTTTACTTAACATTTGCTATGGCAGCTATATATATGTATATATATAGTCCACCGATTCGCCATGCTCCGAATTATATACTAGTAAAATTATATAGAAAAATAACTCCATAGTTTCATTCAAATAGCTTGCTCTTAAGTTTGTTCCAAAACAAGTCTCGCACGTCTGGGGATATGATTCCCAACTAGTTCTAACATCCCCGGAACGAAGTGACTTCTGCCAGCCATGTCTCAGAAATGTGTTGTTACAAAAGTTGCAAGTCATTGTTTATATGTGTTCAAAGTTAGTATCTGATCATAGATACATACTTATTGATCATAGTAAATTACTCATCATAGTTACTTACTGTTCAAAGATACGTACTGATCCTCTGCATTTAACAACCGTTTCTGTGCAGTTTTATTATATATTATTCCGATTTTCATAAAAATTCAAATTAGATAAAATTATATTAAACACTGAAAAAGTAATAATTTTTTTCTAAAAATTTTCCGATCGTTCCTATTGCAGCTGTATGATATAGTCATCCGATCTGGCCAGTTCCGATTTATATAAGATTGAGAGTATTTAGTAGACTAACAGCAAAGTTTCATTGAGATATGTACTACAAAACTAAAGAACTAGTTTGCGTAGAAACGGGCAGACGGACGGACAGACAGACGGACATGGCTAGACCGACTTGGCTGTCGATGCTGATCAAGAATATATATTCTTTATATGGTGGGAGATGACTCCTTGACTGCGTTGCAAAGTTTTGACTAAAGTTATAATACCATGTAGGGGTATAATAAATATTATCAGATCATCATTTATATTCAAGTTGTAATGGCACCGTATTTTGACATTAAAATATAAATTTAGATAAATAGCACATATTTTTCAGGTATTACGAAATCTTTACCATTAATAATTAAATTAAGATGAACAGAGGATGCATCGTTCTCATTATTTTTGCACTTTAGACAGAAATGATAAGTTTATGAACTTATGAACGGACTATATTCCAATTCTAAATTTATAATTAAAATAATAAGCACAGATTTCGAATTCATTGTTTTTTGTGTCGGAGTTCACCCGGCACGGTTTTTAAAATCAATTGATGATACATATTTAGAAGAAATACAAAATAAAAACAAATGTTGATCTCAATTGGCATTAAATGAAGCACACAATTCTATGTATGTTGTTATAGACCTTGCTTTACAGACTTCGTTATCAGTAGCATATAAATATAGCATGTCCCGGTCTCAGACAACCAGTATCTCGCAGACTTTCCTTTCGAATCCCAGATGTCTCCGAAATTCATTTTAGCACTTCTGCTCCTTGGCTTCGTCCTTCTGGGATCCAGCAATGCCCAACGGCGAAACGTAAGTCTCATTAAGTGATATAGTTTTTTGTTTCGTAATCTGAATGAGGATTTATACTTATATACTTTCAGACTTATCGCAATCTGGGAGGAGACGGTAGCTTTGGAACAGACGCCAAACCCCACCTTTGGATGCACCTGCCGATTGCAATACGAACAACCTGGCCAGTAACACTCGAGATAGGTTTAGACACTAATAAAGGTAATACGGGATCGGCAATTGGACCAGGACATCAGGACCAGGACAAAACGCACAGAAATTTGTAAAAATGTAGTTTTTAAAGGGGAGTCACTTGTGCAAAATGCATATAATCCTTATCTCAATAAAGATTTGTTCAATTTTCTAAAAATCATATTTTTGTACAATTGTTTTTACAAGCATATTTAAATGAAATCTAATCTTTGGTAGGAGATATCAAAGATATTGAAAACACGCCCTCCTCATTTTCGGTAACATTCATAATACATTTTTATTTCCAAAGCTACATTGTAGCACCACACACAAGTTACTGAAAAGTGGCTATGATGAAAATATGTTGCTTACTTGAAAAGTTATATTTTTTTACTTAACATTTTCCGATCGTTGCTATGGCAGCTATATATATGTATATATATAGTCCACCGATTCGCCATGCTCCGACTTATATGCTTGTAAAATCATATAGAAGAATAACACCATAGTTTCATTCAAATAGCTTGCTCTTAAGTTTGTTCCAAAACAAGTCTCGCACGTCTGGGGATATGATTCCCAACTAGTTCTAACATCCCCGGAACGAAGTGACTTCTGCCAGCCATGTCTCAGAAATGTGTTATTACAAAAGTTGCAAGTCATGGTTTATAAGTGTTCAAAGTTAGTAAGTGATCATACATATTTACTGGTCATAGATACTTACTGATCTTAGTTACTTACTGGTAATAGAAACTTATTAATCACAGTTAATTACTGATCATAGTTACTTACTGTTGAAAGATACATACTTATTCTCTAAATTTAACAACCGTTTCTCTGGTAATTATATAGTTTTCCGATTTTCATAAAACTAAAAATTTAATTTAATAATAATAAAAGATAGCTTTGAATTGAATTAGATAAAATATGAAATAGATATCCGATTTGGCCAGTTCCGACTTATATAAGAGTGAGAGTACATATGTTTGAATATAGAAGATTATCTGCAAAGTTTCTGTGAGATACCTTCAGAACTGAGGAACTAGTTTGCGTAGAAACGGAAAGACGGACGGACAGACGGACAGACAGACGGACAGACGGACAGACAGACGGACAGACAGACAGATAGACGGACATGGCTAGACCGACTGGGCTGTTGATGCTGATCAACATATATATACTTTATAGGGTCGGAGATGACTTCTTCACTGCTCCTTGACCAAAATTATAATACCCTGCAAGGGTATAATACATATTATCAAATCATCATTTATATTCAAGTCGGGATAACCCCATAAGTAATTGACATTCAAATAAAAATTGATGTAAATTGCACTTTTTGTTACCATTAAGATTTACAATAAAATGAACAGAGGATGCATCATTCTCTTTATTTTTAAACTTTAGACAGAATCGATAAGTTTATGAACTTATGAACGAACTATCTTCCAATTCTATATTTATAATTAAAATAATAAGCACAGATTTCGAATTCATTGTTTTTTGTGTCGGAGTTCACCCGACACGTTTCTCAGAACCAATTGATGATTTATATTTATAAGAAATATAAAATAAAAACATTAATTCAAAAAGCTCACACAAATGTTGATCTCAATTGGCATTGAATGAAGCACACACATATTATATATATATATGCAGTTATAGAGCTTGCTTTACGGACTTCGTTATCAGTAGCATATAAATATAGCAGGTCCCGGTCTCAGTCAACCAGTATCTCGCAGACTTTCCTTTCGAATCCAAGATGTCTCCGAAATTCATTTTAGCACTTCTGCTCCTTGGCTTCGTCCTTCTGGGATCCAGCAATGCCCAACGGCGAAACGTAAGTCTCATTGAGTGATATAGTTTTTGTTTCGTAATCTGAATGAGGATTTATACTTATATACTTTCAGACTTATCGCAATCTGGGAGGAGACGGTAGCTTTGGAACAGACGCCAATCCCCCACCTTTGGATGCACCTGCCGATTGCAATACGAACAACCTGGCCAGTAACACTCGAGATAGGTTCAGACACTAATAAAGGTGATACGGGATCGGCAATTGGACCAGGACAAAACGCACAGAAATTTGTAAAAATGTAGTTTTTAAAGGGGAGTCACTTGTGCAAAATGCATATAATCCTTATCTCAATAAAGATTTGTTCAATTTTCTAAAAATCATATTTTTGTACAATTGTTTTTACAAGCATATTTAAATGAAATCTAATCTTTGGTAGGAGATATCAAAGATATTGAAAACACGCCCTCCTCATTTTCGGTAACATTCATAATACATTTTTATTTCCAAAGCTACATTGTAGCACCACACACAAGTTACTGAAAAAGTGGCTATGATGAAAATATGTTGCTTACTTGAAAAGTTATATTTTTTTACTTAACATTTTCCGATCGTTGCTATGGCAGCTATATATATGTATATATATAGTCCACCGATTCGCCATGCTCCGACTTATATGCTTGTAAAATCATATAGAAGAATAACACCATAGTTTCATTCAAATAGCTTGCTCTTAAGTTTGTTCCAAAACAAGTCTCGCACGTCTGGGGATATGATTCCCAACTAGTTCTAACATCCCCGGAACGAAGTGACTTCTGCCAGCCATGTCTCAGAAATGTGTTATTACAAAAGTTGCAAGTCATGGTTTATAAGTGTTCAAAGTTAGTAAGTGATCATACATATTTACTGGTCATAGATACTTACTGATCTTAGTTACTTACTGGTAATAGAAACTTATTAATCACAGTTAATTACTGATCATAGTTACTTACTGTTGAAAGATACATACTTATTCTCTAAATTTAACAACCGTTTCTCTGGTAATTATATAGTTTTACGATTTTCATAAAACTAAAAATT